GTCATAATCTCGAAAACATCTTCCTTTACTTCACCTTTCAAGAGATGATCATTTAAGCTCAGTCCAGAAGTTGTGGGAGCAGATGCGTTGAAGACTACCCTTAACTTTGTAGTGGTTTTGTCTGGTCTAAACACACCATGATGCGGAAGGTAATAACATATGGGGTTTGCTACCTGATCACCAGAATGCTCTTGCACCTTTTCCATATGATCCAAATCCAAATACTCCTTCATGAAATTCTGATATAACTCCTTTAACTGATTGTTCCTTGATAGTCTCTTCCATAACTGATTCAATCTCCTCAATGCTAATTTCCTTGACTCTCCCAAGTTTTGTATGTCCTTGGTTGCCATCTGCACAATATATCTCCCGTCCTCATTACGTCTGTGAGTTCTTTGATAATGATCTTCGCAATACTCCTCTTCTTTACTCATCAAACTTGGAGCCTCTGTTAGAGTCTCTATTTGCCAGAACCTTTGTAAACACTTATCGACTGACTCTGGCTCTGATATTAGTCCACAATATTGATCTTGATTATTAGATTCTGTAGATCCAGTTGCGATGTATCCAAAAACTGTGTTACGAAATGTTAGGTTATTATTGCACGATGGACGAATTTGATCGTTCTTAACTATTTCAAAGAATGCTTCAGCTCCAATAAGCATGTCAATCTTGCCTGGTGTAGCAAATCTTGGATCAGCTAACTGACATGGAATTTCTGTTTTGCTAATGTGTAGAGAGGAAACAGGAAGTAAATCCGTGATCCTTGGCACCACCAAGAACTCTAGCTTCTTAGAAAAAGATCCATTGCCGTTTATTATTGTGGCAATCAGCCTAAACTTGACCGAGGTTTTATTTCCACTTATACTGGAGACTGTGAGATCGATTCTTTCTTGCGGGGTACCCAGACGACTTGCGAAATCTCTAGTAACGATATTTGACATACTGCCCGAGTCCAATACTGCGCGCGCTTGAATGCTGGCTCCGGTAGTATGATTTAAAACCCAAACCATGGCTGTCGAGAGAATTACTGTCTTATTTCCATTGTCAATGCATGACAGTGAGTGAGGTATACCTTCACGAAACTCTATTGCGTCGGGATTAAGGTCCTGCTTGATTGGAGTCGGTTTGCTGTCGACCACTGGCACATTTGAACCAATCATAGCTTGTTTCTCTCGATGCAGTAATGTATTATGTCGCTTTCGGCATATCTTACAGCAGCTCTTAGAGTTGCAACTGGATAACTTATGCCGATCACTTAAGCAATTGAAACAGAGGTTGTTTTTGGCCACCACATCGTTTCTTTGGGAGGCTTCAAGCCGTAAAAAGGAATCACAAGTGTAAACAGGATGATTTTGCTTACATAAAATACAATGAGACATAGAATTGTTACATTTCACAAACAAGCTTTTCGGTTTAACTCTATCTTGACTACACCTTGGTTTCACGAACGTGGTCTTATTAATGTTTTCTAAAATCTGAGAACGCTTTTCCAAAAATGAAATCAAATTATCTAGTTTAGGAACGTCATTCGAACTGATACTGAACTCATACTGTTTTAGAGTCTCCTTATCCAGCTTCTGAAGTACGATATTTAAAATTAAGATATCAGAAAGCTCATTCCTTTCATATCCTAGGACTTTTAGTGCTCGCATATTTCTATTGATGCTATCAATTAAACTCCTCAAACCCCTTGCTGACTCATAAGGTAATTTTACAGAGTCCAGAATCGCATTAACATGGGTTTCTACTATTAATTTCTTATTTTCGTACCTTTCTTGTAGCGCTTGAAACAATGAAGCAAACGAATCGTTTAACGTTTCTAAACTCTTAGCTTCCCCTACGAGAGCAGCCTTCAAATAATGTAGTTTTTGTTCTGCCGACAGTTGCTCGTTTGACGAAATGATATTATCAAATTGCATTTTAAAGTTACTCCATTCTTCATATTTTCCAGAGAATTTCGGTAGAGGAATCTCCGGCAACTTAATATTAGCGGAATTATTTCGAACTACGGGGCCCTGAGTCACCGTGACCACGGACGAATCTGCTTCTAATCGTTTAATACGAGACTGGATCTTAAATTTACAACTTATAATTTTGTCCTCATATTCTTCACTATTGACTATCTCAGTGTCATAATCAGTTGGGCTAGTAATGAAACCCTCAATCTCCCCGTTTAAGGTTCTCAATGACTCTTCCTTTCGACTCAACTGATCCAGTATTTCTAGATGAGTTTCTGTCTCTCTATCGTCGCTTTCAATTAAACTATCGATTTTACTAATTAATTTCGTCACACTAGCTCTTATCGAAGCGCGCTTTTTCTTTAATTTCTCGAGTTGATCCATTTTAAACTGTCTACCACGTATAACGGACAGGTAAATTCCTCCTACCTTGGATAGGTGACTTAATGAAGTTTGACCCAATCTTATTTGCTTGCGAAGTTGTCTCTCTTTTCTTCTTGATCCGCCTCGACGGACCAGATGTTTGTCGATCTTTAATGGACTGTAAAAATATGAAAGTACTGCGGTTTTGCAAAAAATAACGTTTAATGCGGAATGAAACACTGGTACAAAATGGCTGCTACAAATGACCGTTACAGAACTACTCTCGTTCACAAATTTTTTAAATAATTTTTTTTTTATGACAAAAATACGGTGGCGCTTGAGGGGCTAACACTATATTTAAATAGGTCAGGGAGCCACATTCATTAAAAATATCCAAATACCACTTATTACATTTATAGTTAGCAGCTCAAACATTATAAACAATAAATTAATTTCATTATTTGGTGTGGCCATAAAATCTGAAAACAGATGATAATTAAACGTATTATATTAACTTAAAACAGTTACTTATATTAGGGCTTATCACACAAATTTCTTAGATTTAATATATAGTTAAGTTACAAAAAATTGTACAATGATTTAAACCAATATGTACAAAATACGTTAAATACACCCAATGTGCATTTCGGACTTTTTGTTGTAGACGGTATCTACTGTAAAATATTTCTGTAAACATTACTGAGAAGAGATCGACAAAAAGTTGGATCCGAAATGCATTTAAATAAAACATATGAAAATTAAAATTGCTTCAGGGTAATTCTTGAATTCTGTTGAACAGTGAGATTAGAGGGACATAACAACTTTTGTTTATTAGTCCACAAACCCCTTTTAGGTGGTTAGATAAATAACAGATTAAGCCGACTAATATTGTTAAATTTATCTAATTAAGAAAAATTTTTTAAATAAATTAGTTTTGTCAATATTGACCGAAGCTTTTTATTTTATTGTTACTCCATTGTGGGAATCCGGGGTTAAGACAAAGTTGTCTGTCACCCGTGTTCGGCGTCAGATCCGAAAGATCTGCCCACAGTGTAACTAGATGGGATTATAGTAATATTTTATTTGTGAACAGGAAGTTCTTGTGATCTTCCTATTGATTTTTCCTGACACCAGCCTAATTAGAGCTGACACGCGAAATAAAAATTTTGTACTTTTCCGAGAGGGAGGTATCGTAGATTCGCGATAAGACTTCGGCTGATATTTGAGATCAAGAACGAGACCATTTTAACGAAATAAAAATAAAGTTTAATGAAAACAACATAGAATAAAATACAAATATACGATCCTACATAAAGAAGTTCTAAAGTCCCTATCTGGACTCGAGAGAGAGAGAGAGAGAGAGAGAGAGTTTATACATCAGTAAAATTCTTTTGGCTATTAAGCAAAAGAGAATTATAAATTTTAATGCTTTTTATATTCTCAATTGGGCAAAAAGCACAAGATTCAGTAAAAACAATTTTGAAACCTCAATCAGCAAAATTATTTATTAATGTAACATTATTTCCAGGATTATGGTGGATAATAATCACAAAAATTATCAGAAAATAGAAAATGCAGTCTTAAAATGAAGTATAATAGTGAAATTTAACAATTGGTATGGAGTATAACTTTCTTTGAGTACAAAAATTACATTCTATGGGTTCAAGTCAACTACTGGTTAACCCACTCACGGCACACTAAATATAGCATAATGGCAACAGTGGTTGACCGTTTAAATCTGTTTTGGGCTTTGATATTTTTTATTTCATTACCCAGTACCACAAAAAGCAAAATTCATATATGAAAATAAAGTTTGTTCTATACTTGTAGCGAAAACAAAACTCAAATACGGACAATTTGTAAGTGAACTGGGATGATGAAAATGCTTGATAGAGGTTAAATGTTGTGTGAACGGAAGGAACAACTATTTTTTCCTTTTTATTATTTACAAAACTGAATATCTGAAAACAGTTTAAATATAAACCGATACATTAAATATAAAAAAAATTAAAATTTAATTAACATTATTGCAGAACATTAATATAATANATTGACCCTACAACCAAAAACGAAAAGCGATTGCGAATTTTAAATAGCCAATCATTTGCAAGCAAGTGAAAACGTCATATCGAAAAACAAAATGGCCACTTCCGATATTCCGTCGTTAACCACATTTGTTTATTTATTGAGAAAGAAAAATAAGTCAAAAAGAAAACGATGCTGGGTGAGAGAAATATTAAAATCCGTTATTACAACATGTAATCTATTGCGTGAGAAAGTTTCTGTAGCCATCTTGAAAACAACAAGAACCACGTGACAACTAGCGGGAATACGATTGGTGCGAAATTTTTTCGCTGGCGAAAAAGCTCCACAGTTCCGAACTTCGAAGCGATTCGTGAAATGGTAAAATTCGCCGGAAACGACATGTCTGACGTGTTATTCGCTCTGTTTTTCGCTTTCGCTAGCGAATCGCGTACAGTGTGAACTAAGCTTAAGCCTTAATCCTAACCATCTCCCTCCAGTGGGGGAATTTTGACACGTATATTATATAAAAACACGTGCGTATTCGAATGCTGCGTTGTGTCAGAATTTCAAAGGAATCGGTAGGAACAAACAAACATTACATTTTTATTTATATAGATAGATAGAAGATGATCTGCTTTAGTTCATTTTCACAGAAAAGCATAATGCCTCACAGAAAAGCAAACTTAGGACGTCGTACTCGTAGCGCCATCTGTTGGACATAAAAGCCTTAACCTAGATTATATATTTTAATTTATATGAATGCTTAACGGAATAATATACAGCCTATGTCCACCCTGAGGTTCCATTCTAAGTATTGGTGAAAGAATTTTTGAAATTGGATGAGTAGTTTCAGAGATTACCTGCTGCAAACAAACTTACATACATACAAACATTACCTCTTTATAATATTAGTATAGATTACAAGGCCCACCGGTGGCCGAATGGACTCCGTCTCCACTTGTTAGTGGTGACCAGACCCTAAACACCGGAGTTCGATCGGGTGTTCGCGCCTCACTCGGACGAGCTGGCAGCGGGAGTTTTTTCCGGGCTTTCCTCCTTGCCAATGACGCCTGAATAGGGGCCAGCTTTCCCTCCAAGTCCTCCCGGAAGGCATTCTGTCTCCCTTTCTCGCGGGGGTCGGATTGGTCGTCTTCTATAAGACCGACCCCTCCAAGTCCTCCCGGAAGGCATTCTGTCTCCCTTTCTCGCGGGGGTCGTCTCTTATAAGACCGGCTTTGGTTACTTAGTAACCTCTATCCTGTCTTCCTCGGATTGGTCGTCTTCTATAAGACCGACTCTTCCTTACTGTTTCTTCTGGAGTGAAAAGCACATAGCTATCACACTCCTCTATGAAAAAAAAAGATATGAGATATAGATTACAAAAGGAGTACTGTATAACCATTCCCTTATTTCATAGTGTTGTTCAGTGAAACATTTATTTGAATTATTTGATAGTCTGTTGCTAGATACCACTTGATATTTCGGAATACAATAAAGGGTAATAGCGTGTATTATTCGGCAATGTGCAGTTATGTTATTAGAGGAAAAGATTACATCAGCCCTTTCCTATAGAAGGGCTTCAGTGAGCAGAAATTTGTACTATCAGTTAGCGCATGGACAATATATCATACACCGGCAAAAGATCTATACCAGGGTGGCAAACCGTGCTTTATAGTAAGCATAATTAGCTTTAAAGATGTTTATGTCTGCCAAAGTTTTAGACTTTGGATAACGATCAAATTTAAATGCCTTTGTGTCCTTAATTTATTAATTTAAACGTCAACTAGGACTTACCTATTATTAGGACTTATTAAACTGGATAACTGGTTCTTCAAATTAAGTAAACAAACTCAGAAAAACGGTCTTTAAATATCATCTGAACGCATACACGAGATCTTTGTGTTTCGGACCTGTTGGTCCCTCATCAGCAGGTTTATCATAGACGTTCTCTAAAAAAATTTCAGTTTAAAAAATTGCTACAAATTACAGTAGAGCGTCGATTATCCGAAAGTCAATCATCCGAAACGTCAATTATCCGAAAGAATTCCAGTCAGCAAATTTGAATTTTTGCTAGTGCTGTGGCGCTGCAATCTTTGGCCATGTCTTGGGTTACTCAAATATTTTACGTTTTTGATACTAAATTAACTTCTGAAGTATAATTTTTTTTATTGTTTTTATATTTTTCAATATATTTATTTTGTTTGTACAAAATAAAAAAATATTTTTTACGATACAATAGTCTTCGTTAGGCTTAACATCGACGAAAATTCAACGCGAAGCGACACGCAACGGAGAAAAATTTCAACATGGGATAGGTTAATATATTTTTACGTACATAATCGGTTATCCGAAATATCGATTTCCCCCCGAACAACCCCATTCTCCAATTGATTCGGATAATTGACGCTCCACTGTATTTAAAAAACAAAAATAATATGCTATAATTAGCGTATATTGTTTTGTAAGCGATTGTGAGATTAATTAAGTGTATTTTATGAGTACAATATTATGACTCCTATAGTGACAAGGCTTGATAATGATCCCCAATGTGGCTTTCAATACAGTATGTGGCCAATCAGAAATTCTAAAACAGCAACTCTATTGGAACGGTGTTACAATATTGTGGATATCACTATTTTATAGTAAATATCACTAGTATGTTAGGTTAAAAAGGCCTAAGTTTGGATACATTTGTAAGAAAACCTATCTACAAATTTTCACGAAATAGATTTATTATAAATGAATTTCTTTACATTTTATCTAAATGCAAACTAATGTTTCCTCGTTTACTAGTAGATTCGTGGGTTTAGTTGGAATACCATGTAAAATTTGGGATCATTAGCTTTCAGTTGCCTGTTCCAATGACAAGTTACGCTTACAATTTTTGTGTATAACACTACATAAATCAGCAAACTTCGAAAATATTACGCATGTGTAAGTAGCTGACATCTGTAAATAGAAATTGTATAAGTATAGGGTGTGGAAGAGTCGCAGTTTGACATTCGTGGGTATATACGATTAAGGCGTAAAGTGAAACAGATTGATAAAATATTTTTGACCTTACATTTGAAATATTTCTAAGAAATTTATTAACTTATTGTAGTTTATAGTTACTGCAAATAAAATATTATTTTTAATATTTATTTATTTATATATTTTTAAACGAATATTATTATTTTAGTGTATTTTATATACTGTATTATAACACAGCTTTTTTTCCAGAACACAAACTCAAGATGAAATCGATAAACTTAAGCGAACCGCTTCCAGCTCCTTTTCAATTCGAAACTATTATCGATAAGGAAGATGTGAAACGATTCTATCGGAATTATTGGCATTATTCAGTCTACATTGCTACCATCTACCTGATAACCATCTACTTTCTTCGTGAATACATGAAGACCAGACCTGCCTTCGAACTCAAACGTGCATCTTTCGTTTGGAATGGGATCCTTGCGCTATATAGTATCATCACGACTGTAAGAGGATTTCCAGGATTCCTGTTTGCATTTAGTCATTACCCGTTTTATCATATCGTTTGTGATAAGATGCTTACGGAACAATCTCCACAGTTCATATTTTGGGGTACATTATTTCTGTTTTCAAAAGTATGGGAATTGGGAGATACTGTTCTAATTGTACTGAGAAAAAGAAATCTGATGTTTCTGCACTGGTATCATCATGTGGCAACTTTAATCGGAATGTGGCACGCTGCATATAGGGAAGCATCTTTCGGAACTTTACTAAGTTATACAAATGTTTTCGTGCATTCGTTTATGTACAGTTATTTTACTCTAAAATCAATCGATGTGAAGATTCCTGTTAAATTCGCCATGTTCATCACGGCCATTCAAACATTACAGATGTTATTCGGTGTTCTTCTTTCATTCTGGGTATATTGGCTTCACGTAAATAATTATGAATGTGACACTCCTAAAGATGTTCTCGAAACCGGTTTCGTGATATATTCATCATATTTATTCTTATTTAGTTACCTGTTTTATAATTCTTACATTAAATCTCGTTCAAAAAAGAAACATGAATAAGCATTATAATGTAATAATGATTGAAAATGATATCTTTGTCTCTTTAAAATGAAAATGAGTAAATAATATGTACCAATTGTTTACTTAAAGTTATTTAAAGAATTAGATAGATATAACTGTTAAAATTCACATTTAATGTTAGAAATATTTATCAAATAAAAGACATTTAATGTACAAAAACTAGAAATTTTACTGTATATCTTATTCCAGTTTATTTTGTCTTACAATAAATTTACTTAGAAAGTATTTAAAATGTGTTTTTCTTGTTTTTTGATTTTGTCCTGTGCATCTTTTTCCTTTTTTTTTTGCAAACTCAAATTGGATTTGTCCAGGCCCATATGGCGGCAGCCGAATGAATTATGGGGAGGAAGCCCGACATATCTGGCGTGTCACATCACGAAAATTCCTGAGTTTTCGACCCATTCAGATTCGATTACGGACTCCCAGAGNTCAAGATGAAAGCGATAAACTTAAGCGAACCGCTTCCAGCTCCTTTTCAATTCGAAACTATTATCGATAAGGAAGATGTGAAACGATTCTATCGGAATTATTGGCATTATTCAGTCTACATTGCTACCATCTACCTGATAACCATCTACTTTCTTCGTGAATACATGAAGACCAGACCTGCCTTCGAACTCAAACGTGCATCTTTCGTTTGGAATGGGATCCTTGCGCTATATAGTATCATCACGACTGTAAGAGGATTTCCAGGATTCCTGTTTGCATTTAGTCATTACCCGTTTTATCATATCGTTTGTGATAAGATGCTTACGGAACAATCTCCACAGTTCATATTTTGGGGTACATTATTTCTGTTTTCAAAAGTATGGGAATTGGGAGATACTGTTCTAATTGTACTGAGAAAAAGAAATCTGATGTTTCTGCACTGGTATCATCATGTGGCAACTTTAATCGGAATGTGGCACGCTGCATATAGGGAAGCATCTTTCGGAACTTTACTAAGTTATACAAATGTTTTCGTGCATTCGTTTATGTACAGTTATTTTACTCTAAAATCAATCGATGTGAAGATTCCTGTTAAATTCGCCATGTTCATCACGGCCATTCAAACATTACAGATGTTATTCGGTGTTCTTCTTTCATTCTGGGTATATTGGCTTCACGTAAATAATTATGAATGTGACACGCCTAAAGATGTTCTCGAAACCGGTTTCGTGATATATTCATCATATTTATTCTTATTTAGTTACCTGTTTTATAATTCTTACATTAAATCTCGTTCAAAAAAGAAACATGAATAAGCATTATGATGTAATCATAATTGTAAATAATATATACAAATTGTTTACTTAAAGATATTTAAAGAATTAGATAGATATAACTGTTAAAATTCACATTTAGTGTTAGAAATGTTCCATAAATGAAGGACATTTAGGCCTAACGTACAAAAACTAGAAATTATAATATATATCTTAATACAATTTATTTTGATTTTTTAAAAATTTTAATATGAAGTATTTGAAATGTGTTTTTCTTGTTTTTATTTATTTTTTGGTTTTGTTCTGTGGATGTTTTTGCCATCTTTTTTTGTAAACTCACCGTGGATTTGGCCAGGCCCACATGGCGATATCCGAATGAATTATGGGGAGGAGGCCCGACATATTAGTAGAAATCAGTCCACGAAAATTCCCGAGTTTTTCGACCCATTCAGATTCGATTCCGTATTCCCAGAGCAGTAGTCTGCAACCTTAGCAGCAGGGCCATTATTTCAAATATTTAATAATTATTTTGTGGATTTGGATCAAATTTTTGCAATAAACTTTTTCTTCAAATATTGTTATACAAAGATAATACATAATAAAATAATATTATATGATAATAAATATAATAATTATGACAAATTTGTATGATATTTGAAGCATCGTACAAAAACTGAATAAAAATATTGTATCTACATCCAGTTGCATTTTTTAATTGTGATTTGTATAATAATTGTTTCTTTTTGTTTCTAATAAATAGGACCGATTGTCGGAATTATTTACTAAAACATTACGCTGAATAAATTCATTTCAATCATATTCCGTGAAATTCGGTGACCGAAACATCTTATATTATTATAATGTACAGTACATTAAATATTATTATTATTTAATAGTACAAGGAAAACTCTGTATGTAGAGCATATTACAGCAGCAGCAACAACAACAACAAAAAACCATATTATGATCATTATTATCAATTCCAGCTCAAAATTTATTATTATTAATAGTACAGCGCGTAATAATTAGCCTGTTGAAAAAAAGAAAAAAAGCAATACATTATTAATAACAATAGCAAATAAAACCGACAATGATAACAATTATAGCCAATAATAATAATATACACAAAAAGTGGTAGCGAATAGTCGACGCAAACAAAAATTATATAAAAATTATATAGAAAAATTAAACAATTATCTGAAAAAATTAAATAAATTACTAATTATAATACGTCCAAAAGCGCCGACTAAAAACACTGTCAACTCTCAAGCACTGAAACATCCACTAATGTACTGTGCTATATCCACTTCTCCTGATGGTTAAATTCTGAAAAAAATTAATATCTTAGCTAAAAAATTAGCCATTATTTTAGTAATAAAATTATAATACAGTCATATTTATTATAATCGCGTAACAATTGCTTATATGATTAAACCGATAAATAATCTAAACCAAAACACCTTTGTCTGACAGAGCCTTACGGTGCACTATGCAGACACGAGCGAGCGAGAATATGTGGCGAGACGCGATAAATATCAAAACCTCTCAGATATGTGCGAGAATCAGAAATTCGCTCTCGCCAGCGTTATTTCTCGCTTCTCGTTTGTGCATGGTTTTCCTTTGCGAAAACTAAATCGCTCGCTCTAAATTCGTGTCTGCATAGTCGCACCCTTACATTTAGTTACTAAATGAAAAGCATCGAAAGTAACACTAAAGTAACAGAATTCATAATAATTTAAACACGGAACTGTCATTCTTTTAAATATATTGCATNTACCACCTGAGGTTTGTTCATGGCGTAGAAAGATGCGGTATCCCAAACGATAATTCCATACCTTATTTTGGATTCCATGCATACAACCGTTTCAATTGTAATGTACTTAAAATGTTTTGAATTTTCTTGTTTATCCCAATATACTTTGCTAAGGATAGGGCAACATCATCTGTTTGTCTGTTCCAGCGCAAGATTATCAGCAAAAGTTATTCCTAAAAACTTAATAGCGTTTACTCTTTCTATGTTATTATCAGTTATTTCGATTTTTAAGTGGCCAAAGTTAACTTTTTTGTTTCTATTGGCAAAGCAGAGAAGTTTTGTCTTGTTTTTATTAATTACCAATCTATTTTTTTCCATATAATTGTTTAATGTTTTTAAAATGTTATTTAAATTCTCTTGAAGAATTGTAGCATTCATATAAGAAGAAGTTATTACTATATCGTCAGCATACATAAGTATATCATCTTTTGATGTATGATTGAACAGATCATTGATGAAAAGCAGAGGACCTAGAATTGAACCCTGAGGAATGCCCTTGTTTAGCTTAAAAGAACTGGAAATAACTTGTCCAATTTTAACGTAGTAAGTTGTTTAATGAATATGACTTTAACCAACTTAAAGGAATTCCTCTTGTAATTTTAATTCTGAAACTTCCAGATTCAAGCAATCAAATGTTTTTGATAGGTCTACGAATACTGATATTACTGTACTACATTTGATTTACCAAATTGAGACGTTATTAATTGTTTTAAATGCAACAAAACGTCTACCGTCGAAAATCCCCGTTTGTAAGCATATTGATTGCTGCGAATAATCTGGAATTTGTTCATAAAAGTAGAAAACCTTTTATAGAAAATCTTCTCAAAAATTTTTGCCAGAATAGATACTATTATGATTGGACGGTAGTTTTCTATCTCACACTTAGATCCTTTATCCTTTCATAACGGTAAAACTAAGTTTTGATTTAACTTTTCTGGAAAAATGCACTTTTCGAAAGATTTATTTATCAGGTGCGATAATGCTCGGGCTAAGATGTCTGATATACAGTAGACCCCCCTATAACGCGGAGATACGTTCCTCGTTATACGAATTTCGCGTTGTAGGAATCCTTAAATACGTCAGCCAATCACAGCCCGACACGTGTAAAGTTTACGTACTACGGCTGTTTGAAAGGTTTTCTTCCATAAAATTAATCGATTCTAGACTAATTCGACTTAACATTTCCAAAACACGTATAATTTTTTGCGAATAATCCGTATAAACTATGCTATAAACAAAAAATTGTAGGATTACTTACCGAGTGTGCACCGTACGACGTCGCCTTAAGCTTATTTTCGTCGCGGACCAGCGCACCAAACTGCGGCCGCGATTTCTGATGTTATTTTTCTGCGAAAACTTTGTTGAACTTTGGAGACATTATTAATATAAATAATTTTTATGGCCGTTGAATAAGAAATGTTTCTTTCACAAGAAATGTATAAAATTATAGTACCTGTATTAGACTTACGGTACCTAATTTACATACTGTACAGACGATAGTAAACAACTTACTCGCCTAAACTTTCCGTAGAGTGGCTCTGGACGGCGGAAAGTAGTTCTGCTGCTCGTCCGCGATGACGAGTTGGCGATGACATTTTACCGCGTTTTACGCGTCCCTTTTAGCGTCTTTATACGAATATTGTCGCAATTTTTTCGTCGCGTTATAGGAATCTACGTTATAGGAACTCGCGTATAGGGAGGTTTACTGTATATTTTAAAATTTCAATATTTAAAAAATTAATGTCTGGAGAACTATTTTTCAAGTCCATTATAGAGTTATAGACCTCTAAGGGAGTTGTGTTTTCCAAAAAGAAAGTATTAGATATACTGGCGTTTGTTATATGTTGCTTTGAGTTGACATTGCCGCAAACATCTGGTGCAAAACAATTCATGGATCCGTAGTGCTCAGCAAATATGTTACAAATTGTGTACTCATCATTAGTTGTTTTCCCCTTATAATTTTATTGATCTACTAGCTGCAAGATCCCGCATCGCTGGGTTTTTATTTGTATGTAATAGTATAGTTGTTTTTATATATATAAAAGACTGTTTTTCTAAGTAATCTAGAATCTAGCTGCAAGGACCCGCTTCGCTGGGCAAAAAGTAACGATAGTGAAGATTAAGATAATTACATTATAGCTAATCTTACCTGTTTTCACAAAATGCAAGAATTAGGTCCCCCGTTTCCAGACTAATTAGAGAATTTTTACGTTTAGTCAAACGAACAAATTTCAACGTTTCTGGAACGTTTTCAATCGTTCTATAATCGAACCAATTCGAATTTTATGTTCGAATTTAATTCGAACAAATTCGAAAAAATCGAATAAAACATTCGAAATAGAAAGCCACTTTCAGCCTCATATCTCCCGCACCCTTATAGCTATCGAGACGCAACCACCCCTATGCACGAATGGAGACTTGGGCTACCACCACACACAAACACCATTCACGTGCGATGTGTAGTTTTGACGAAAAAGTGAAATATAGGGACATACATGTCCATTTATATATATACATATATATATATATATATAGATATAGATATAGAAGATATAGATTTTAACTTTGTTTTTTGTCTTGATTACCTCAGAGGGTAAAGTTTTAATTCTTTTCCCGAAATGAGAAGAGGAGTTAACATTAGAAAACAAAAAACTGTAGTAGTTTTTCTCTTCATTCCGAACATTTTTCCTAATTTGTTTATTCAAGTTATTTATATCCTCTAAGTACTTGTTTCGATCTTAAAGAGTTGACCAATTTCTATTCTTAACTTTCTTAAATAAAGCTTTCTTCTATTTTATTAATGTCAGCATGTGATCATATATAGAATTCTTTAGGAATGCTTTCCTGCTCTTTTTTACATATTCTTTCTTTGAAAGGTATATGTCAATAAAAACCAGTAAGATAGTATATAAGTAGTCAGCTAATTAGTCAGTTGTCAAACTTTGAGTATAAACATAATTCCAAGAAAAACATGACGACAGAGCATTTCGTAAACTGTAGCTACAATATTTATAGGTGGATAGGCGGCATTACTCAGTGGTATATCCTCAAAGAGATGAAAAGAAGTGAGAAGGGTTAGTGGGAGGGAAAGTCTGTTGTGGCAGGGGCCGAAGGTGGGTGGAAAGTGGGAGAGAAGTGAGAAGTGGAAGGGAAGGTCAAGAGCCGCACCGGAAACTTTATTTAAAACATAAACAGGTTACAAATAGAAATAATATTTACAAAAGAAAACAAGAGAGGCACAGATTTTTAGGTCTGTACGTAAAAACGCGACTATAAGTTCCTTAACACAAAGTAGACATTACCATAAAATTTACAATATTGATATCAAAATGATGAATATTATGATTAGGCTTACAGGAAATACTACTTGGCGGATAGAGTTGTAACTCATCTACACACAAGTAGCTACACATAATACACATGTTAAACACATGTTGAACTAGATGAAAATGTTCTTACTCATTGTCGTGTTGCAGGTCAAGAGCCTTTGTTGACTCGACAAAGTTTATAAGTGCGTTAAACATCTTCTTATTTCTAACTAACAAGTAAGACGTTGTGGTCGCAAGGCCAGTTGTATCCCTCCTGTAACACTGACCTGAGTAGATTCGTCCTATGTTGGGTGTATTGGTTGCAGTCGAATATGAGAGATGCTGTGCGTCTTGTTGTGAAGTCCCATCGCACTGACAATGCAGGAAGTTCCTGTGCCCAAATCTGTTTAGATAA